TTATACCCTCCTCTCTTTGAGGATTACCCCCCACCCCACCCTGCTGGGGTATAGACAGTCTCGTGTATGTGAGATTCAAACCATATCTGGGATAAAATGTAAATTTCTTGTTTACACCTCCCCGTTACTGAAGAATGGCTGCTTAAGTAAGTAATAGCCCACTTGACGGTTGATACCTATCTGGGGTTGCCAGTGTGTCTGTCTCTAAGAACAGGTTTGTGGGTGTTACTTAGAATTACAACACATTTCAGTAATAATCATACATTAGAAACTCATAACTTCGCAGATAATATTGAAACACCCATTTCACCAGGATAACATTCAGCAGATTCTGAGTTTTCAAATGATACCTCACAAGGTACAAACTATAAGCATATAAAAGTGGTGAACATGTGGTACAGCGTGTCACACTTACCTTACAGTAACTGTAACCTTACAGTAACTTTGAGATGTCTGCACATGTGGATCCCACCCATGGTGTGTGGTGCACCAGTGCAGTAATATGGAAAATTTTCACTAGTACTGTCCAGTGGGAGTCATGCATTTGCTCATGTCCTCAAGGTCCTCTTCTCCAGATGGCTTAAAAGCACAGCAACCCCAACTGTCACTTAGTTCTTTCACCAGAATTCTAAGACTCCAAGCTGCGGGGAAGGAGAGCAAGTCATGGGATCCATAGATGCAGACATCTCAAAGAAACAGTTACTGTAAGATAGGTAACAGTTCTTTCTTTGAGTACCGCACATGCGGATCCCACTCAGGATGATTAGCCTGCAATTATTTTCCATGGAGGTGGGAACTAGGAGTTATTTGAAAAGAGACTGTACAACTGCACTTCTGAAATTGGCATCAGATCTGGAAGCAGTCACTTAACGTTCCATGAATGTATGAGCTGAAGTCCAGGCAGCTTGATCAGTGGTAGAAATGCCTTGCAAGCTAGTCGTACCAATTTTAATACCAACACATTTATGTGTAATGGATTCCTGATTGCACAAGAGGCCATGTGTCTGAACATGATCTATATGAGCTTCCCAATCCCTCTTGGGTGCATCTGTTATCAGAGTTCTGGGCAGTATCAGAGAAGCAAACAGAATTGTTGCAAATAAATTTTCTCAATCATTCTACAGAGGACAGAATCTAATTCTGAACTGTCACTCAATGGCATGGCATGAATTTTTGGTTTGTAGAACAATCTGATTCAACTTTAAAACGGTCTGAGGTGTAGTCTAGTGAATGGAATCACAAAAATACATGGCGCTCTATGGCCTAAAAATTTGAGACATCTTGACAGATGTTTGAGGGCATTCATGAAGATGGAGTATTAGCTGTCCTATTTCAAATCTATCCAAAGAGAAAAAAATTCTTGCTGCTAATGAGTCTAATACAGCCCCCAAAATTCTGCCAATTGGGACAGAACCAGCTTTGCCTTTTTTTCAAATGAATCCTCAAACCTAGGCATGGAAAACCTTCCTTACTACCATGGACACCTGTTCCCATGATTTTCCCTGTATAGCCCAATCATCTAGATAAGGGTAAATGTGTAAATCCTGTTTGTGGAGATGAGCTGCTACTACAGATAGGCATTTGGTAAATACCGTTGGGGCTGATGAAATTCCAAAGGGAAGTACTCTGAACTGGTAAGTTACGTAAAGCTATTAATCAAAGGTACTTCTTGTGTGTGGTATGAATCAACACATGAAAATAAGTGTCCTGTAAACTGAGGGTAATGAACCAATCCATGGGATCTAGACCAGGAATAATCTAAGCAAGAGTTACCATATGAAATTTGGCATGCAACATGTATTTGTTTAGAAGCCTGAGATCTAGGATTGGACACCAACCTCATTTTCTTCTTTAATATGAGGAAACAAAGGGAATAAGAAGCCCTTTCCTATAAATTCTTGAGATTCTATTGCTCCTATATTGATTAGGACATTATCTCTTGACACATAGCACTCTCGTGAAAATGGTCCCTGAAGAGGGATCAGCAAGGTGTAAGGGTGGAAGGGACAGTTAAACTGAAAAACATAACCATCCTTGATTATTTGAAGCACGCATTGATCTGTGGTGATTGCCATCCAAGCCTCCTGGAAAAAGAATAGATGGGAACCAGAGAGAGGGACGAAAGGGTATAGATCCTTATAGGTTAGTCCAAGATCCTCTATCAGAGCTGATGGCCATGTCTGTCCTGATTGCAAGGTTATCAAAAAGGATTATTGAGCTGATCTCTTCTTTTGGTAACTCAATCTAGTCCTGGCTTGATCAGAAGACCTCTGTTGATGAAAATATGAAGGTGTAGTATTCCTATATCTCAAGGAAGAAGAATGAGGGCAAGATTGCTTCCTTTTAAAAGCTGGGATATAACCCTGGTAATCTGCAAGTAAATCTTGAGTCTTTCAATGAATGAAGAGACTCATCCATTTTAGCACTAAATAAATTCTGCCCATCAAATGATGAATCCTCAATGGTTGTCTGTAGTTCTTAGGCAACCCTGATGCAGGTCTCATAACAGCTATAGCCATTGAATGGACACCTGTATCAGCTGCAACCAGTGCAGCCTGAAGTGAGGTTTTAGCAATTAACAGAGCTTCACAGATTAGAATTTAAAGATTAATTTAGATCAAAGGTAACTTGTTCCTAAAGCTAGATAATCTGCCCCACTGAAGGTAATCATATTTAGATAGCATGCTTCATAATTAGGCTGACGAATAAATACATTTTTCTCCCAAAGATGTCTAGTCTCTTTGAGAGTTGACTTTTCTATTAGTCTTGATTTTTCATTTGCAGCAACAAGAAGTGAATAGAATCAGATGAGTATAAAAATACTCAATCTTTGGACGGTATCTTACATTTACAACCTGCACATTTTGAAATAGCTAAAACCAAGGCAGGAGTAGCCCAAAGATCCTTTGCCAAATCTAAAGTACACTTATTTATAGATAAAGCGACTATCTTGAGATGCCGATTGTAAAAATATGAAAGCTTATATGCCTTCTCCTGTACCATTTCCAATTGGACTTCCAGCATTTGTGCCATGGGCTTCAACAGTTCTTGAAAGACTTTAAAATTGTGCATTCTCACAGGTATAGTAGATGACACAGCCTCAGCAGATGAGGGATAAGAACAATGTGGGGATCTAGATTAATCTTCTTGATAAAGTGGTGCCTCCTTATCACTAGAGATCTGATGTTCGTTGTTGCCATAACCCAAACAGGAGAATGATGAGACATCTGAGAACTAAGAGTTGGTGATCTACAAGGATTCCCTATAAACTGTGGGTGAACTTGTCCTGAAAACTATGGGTATTGAGACCATGACTAAGCTTCAGAACAAATGGGTAAGACATACACACCTAATTTGGGGGAAGGCAAATAGAATGTTCTTGTGTACTGATGTTTTCTGATTTGCTCTCCTCTTAGGTAGTGGGATGGAATTTGAAGAAGAGTCAGAGTCAGAAGACTGAAACCCCTCCATTGATGAGGTAATAATTGAAGACTTTAAAACTAGAGTATGGCTTCTATACTCAGTCCCACTGTCATGTTGATGAAGAGAATTTTCATTATAGGTATTAGATACTTTTTGAGGAAGAGATTTTGATGGTACAGAACTAGAAGTCTCTAATAATGGAAACTCAGGCTCCTAAGTTTCAGGGAGGATAAAAACGAGCCTTTTGGAGCTGTGAAATACTAATCAAATGACATCTGTGCTGACAGATCTGTAGCCTCTTCTACTTAATAGCCACTGCCAGGAGAGATGTTTCAATCACAAGGTTTCAACAAATATAGGACTGGGGCAGACTGATTGGTGTACTGGTGTAGAGGTAGATGGTGCTGGTAATTTCTTTCCCATGGACATAGTATGCTCATCTATCTGTTCTCTATGTCAATGTGGCACTGAAGGCTCTGGCATCAAGTTTTTCTGCATGGCTTCATTGATTCTTTTGAGGAAGCTCTTCTGCCTCCAGTCACTGGATTTAGTGGGCGGTGCTACAGAGTTCATGTCTCTCACTTCCCAGACAACAAGGGTCCCTGTCTGCTCTGAAAGCATTTGAGAGTTCTTCTTGAGCTCAGTCACACCCTTGGGCACTGCAGCACTGGCAGGTTGAGTTTGCAGTGAAGAGCTCCGAGCTTTGTTTTCGTTCAGGATCTGAAATGTAAGATTTACAGGCCTCCTGCCTCTTCTAACCATGAACCAGAGGTCTGCTCACCCTACACAGGCTAGTGAGGCAGTTTCTGTGCTTCACCCAGCTTCAGGTGGAACTAAGTCCACTTGGGCACTGAAGACTGGCACTGGCATATCTGCAAACAAAAAACTTGAAGAACTTCTCCCACTTTCAATAAGGTATGCTTGGTATTTATAATTTATGACTAATAGGTTCCCTCCCCCAATATTCTGGTAGGAGAGAGAGATTATATTTTAGATCTACTTTTCCTCTTTTCATTGTCTATTAGAGGGCATGCTTGATTTAATAAAAAAGTTGACCAAATCTTTTAAAAACTGTGACAACACAAGAAATAAAAAAAACCAACCCAAAACAATGAATTTGCAAATGATGTACAGGACAACACCTTCAGTGACATAAAAGGGAAATTTATTTTATAAACTATGTACAAAACAACAAAATGTTGACCTAAAATACGGAAGCAAAAAGGGAAAGACACCATAGTCAATGAATGTTTATTTACATAATGAATGTAGACTAAGCTTGTGCAAGCAGAAGTCTCTCCAGAGCCTTTTTTGCTACAGAACACAAATTTTTCTCATTGCAGGCAGTTAACACACAGTTCATATCTGACTTAATTAAAACAAGGCAAGTACCATCACTCATAGTAAGCAGGACTTCTCTGCTGATCCAGAATAAGTTAAGAGATTGTTTGCACATGGAATGCTGAGTTGCTTTAGGAAGCTATGATGACGCTCAGGGAGACCTGCTACCCTCTCGATGAGGGACAATATTAATATTGATTAAGTTTTAAGTGAAGCAGGTATGTACTATGTAATTTCCTGAGCTATTAATATTTTGTTTCCACACTCCCATGTATACTTCAGCCTCCACACTGAGAAACATCCAGTCTTTTTTATATGATCTGCTTCCCATTCAGAGTATCTAAAAAGTTATCTTCAAACATTCTGGTCTGCAGCTATAAAGTAATAAATGCCAATAAAGTATTTTTTTATAAGCAGACAACACACTGACAAGCTTGGCTGTTGGGACGCTCAAATCAAAAGAGGTAGTTTTATAAACCATAGCTCCTGGGGCATGGGAGTGTACACATCCCAGTGTACACATTTTATGAAATTGTTCCTGAAATGGTCCTGCCACTCATAAGCATGCCAGTTGTTGGGTTTTTCCACACAGCGCCACCAGTTAAATATGTACCCTTGCTTTTGCTGTTGATACCTGTGCTACTTCCTCAGCTTTTATGAGGTTGTTCTTTGAATTTGGCTTCAAAATGTGACGTCCAACCTAAAAAAAAAAAAAAAAATAATAATAATTTTAATTCTATAAAATCTCTAAGAATACTCAACAGGGAAAGAATAAAATTTTCAACATAAAGATACTGCAGGCTGGAAGGGCTGTTGGAGTTTCCCCCAGCCTGGGAAAAATGAAACCCATAAATGTTTTGTGAAGTTAAAACTACGTACATGAACAAACCCTTTCATATGTGTAAGTATTTACTCAAAACACAAAAGAAGATTCACACAGTTAAAAACAAAAAGCTTGAAGTCCCCAGTCTAAATAAAAAGGCCTACCATTGCTTTTGTATCTGACCTTAGATATAGATAAAAAAGGAAATAAGTTGTTGAGTTTAGCAGCAAAAAATTTTTGAATAGAGCAGTGCAGATGTGTGCCCCCTCACACACAAGCAGTTGATGGACAAGCTGGTTGGACAACAGGTCTTAAAAGTTGACAAATTGAGTTCAGTCGTCTTCCATTAACTTACTTTCACAGTTTTCCAACAATTTGACACAACCTTTTCTGGGATCAACCAGTTCTGTGACTTTTGTATTTGGGATCAATCATTTTGATTACTTAATGCAGGGGTTCTCAAACTGGGGGTCGGGACCCCTGAGGGGGTCATGAGGTCATTACATGGGGGGTCGTGAGCTGTCAGCCTCCGCCCCAAACCCCGCTTTGCCTCCAACATTTATAATGGTGTTAAATATATATAAAAAAAAAAAGTGTTTTGAATTTATAAAGGGGGTCACACTCAGTGGCTTGCTATGTGAAAGGGGTCATCAGTACTAAAATTTGAGAACCACTGACTTAAAGGAAGGGATCTGTAGTATCTCAGAAATATAATGCAGATTTTGTCTGTGTAGTTCCAGTTTTTATTTTATTTAATCATCCTAAATTTTTATTGAGACTGCAACCATTGTATCTCTAATCTTGTTCAATTGTGTTTATAAATTTAACACTTAGCTGTACAGTTGTGTAAAATGCAGACTATTTTGATATTAAATTTTCCTCATATTCCCTGCAAATTTCAAAAACATACTTTTATGGTAGAAGACATAAATATAGACAGTCTTCACTGGAAAAGTGGAACATCAGCCCTTTCTTCAGTCAACCAACGATGAATATGATGATGGCTGCAACAGAATTTCTGATGTTCCACAACATACTTTGGAACTGTGTTAGATATTTTTCAAAATGAGATTTAAAATAAGGTTGCTGAACACCAATACATCAAAGGTGAGATTCTATAATGCACCTCTAACAGGCACTGCACAGAATTTGCAGGCCAAGAGAAAGAGGGCAGTAGGTGGTGGAAGCACTATACTGGCTTTAAAACACTTTTGTGCCCTCCTAATCCTGAGCTACTCCAATGGCTAGACAGGCCCTGACATAACACAGAGCCCCCTATGGGCTTGGCTAAGTTACGTTAGCCTCTGGAGGCTGCTTTATGGGCAGAAATACTGCTCACAATCTGTGCAGCACTCCCCCCAACGCAGCCCCCCTACCTACAGCACAGCTCCTATTGCCAGTACTTAGCAAGGGTCCTACGGTACGGCTTATGGCCATCTTCCACAGTTCCTGCAGCAGGGGAATGATGATTTTTTACACCACTGTAGCCCCTTTACCCAGCATGGAGGGTGGGGGTGTGTGTCCTTCCCCCCTCCCCCCCCAGATTCTCTAATCTATCACTTTTTTTTATTTTTTATTTTTTGAGCAAATGACATAGGTTTGTCAGACATCTCTCTGCATTCTTGGGTTTTAAAGATGAAAAATCAGTAATGCTAATGAGGAACACTTTTTCAATACATGCATGCTTGTAGTTATTATCAGGTCATTTCTCATGTTTGATCAATCATCTTGTTTTAATAGAAGTGTTGGTTCTGTTAGCCCTTGTATTCTCTCTCTCTCACTTGGAGCATCTAGTCAAGCTTTCCTCTAGTCACATCAGATGTTCTGCCCATTTTCCACAAATTTTAAGATTTTAACAAACTAAGCCCCTATCTGTTCACAGTTCCACTCTCTTCTCTTCAGTGTTCCATGACAGTTAATTCCACTGACAAGCCATGCCACTCACTCACTGGTTTTCCATGATTCCAGAGTCTCGAGACCACCAACATTCCCTGATAGTGTAAGCGATGGAAAGCACGATGAGGGATTTTTGTTTGGGTTTTTTGGGGAGTGAGAGTAAATAAGAGCTTACCAGAGGGGCTTCTGGACTGGAAAATGGGGAGGTGTCACAAGATCGGTTTTCTTTGTCCAATGAATCACTGCCATTTTGATGTGCAAATTTCTGCTTTAGAGCCTGAGCTATTAGAGCTGCTGGATCCCACTGTGAACTCCGCCTTTTTCTTGTCTTAGGAAGAGGTGTACCGCCAGGTGACCTACAAAGAACAAAGACAAACTGTGTCCAGTCCATGAAAACTTAATGCTGGTCCTGGACAGTAATTACATTATCCTAGTGTGCTCTACACCTTAGACCAGCTTCACATACCATTCAGGTTATAGAAACATAACTTAGCAAGTAATATAGCTTACTGTATTCTGAAATGGCTTACCATGACCAAACATGAATAAAAGTAAATGCAACAATACTGAGAAAAATCCCCTGCCTACAGTCACAGCAAATACTTAAGTTGTTCATGATACCTCTGATATTATTTCCTTATTCAGGTATTAGAATATTGTGGCAGGCCTATAAAAATACAATTTTAAAAAGAGGTCTCCATTGTACTGCCAGATACTGCTGTATCAATTATGGTCTGTCACAATGATCCCTTCTGGCCTTAGAATCTATGAATCGGGGAAAAAGTTAATTTAATGCTCGTAAAGTACTCCACAGTCCCTATTTGTTTTCAGTTAAAACACTGGATCTTCATGAGTTTTTATAAAGATCAACAAAAAGCTGTAAAGTTTCTCAAAAGACTTTACAATAATAAAGCAATATGGTCTGATGCATGACGTCAGTTAAAAACTAAACTTGCAAATATACATGTTCATCCAGTCAGCCACACAAGGGCCCATTTGCAAACAAGGACACTTCAACAAAATATCCACAACCAGCAACTGGATGCTAAATTGGCACAGATGCATCAGTGGTTGGTTTTGTTCTCAAGTGTGTATCTAAACTTCCAAACGTGAAGTTAGAAACACTATTAAAATAGCTATTTGAAAGCCAGTCATGTATTATTTATGAATCCAAAGCACAGAGTAAATCAGCCCTGATTTTTCAGAGAACCTCAGCTCTGCCCACAAGTTCGTGCTCAAAGATTGTGGATACAGTTTGTAGGTTTGCAAATGGAATTGAAAGTTTAATTTATAGCATTTGGAACTAGAAAGGGACTTTAGACATTGCAATGACTAACTTCTAGGCAACCTGCCACCCAGTGGAATTTACAGCCTCAAGTTAGGCACCTAGGCTCCCCACACATTGTACAGGAGAGTTAGATAGTAAGAAAGGGATTCTCAGAAGCCAGCAAGCTGAGCAGGGAGATGCCTAAGCTAGCCAGGAGTGAAATGCCAAGGAAAGTAATGGGGCTTTGGGCCCAGATGCACAAAGGGAATTAGGAGTCTAACCCTCGTTGATCTGGGCCTCACGTGCCAGAGTGACTGGCCAAAGGAAGTCACCAATCTCTGCTTGGGATTCTCAGTCGTGAACCCTCTCTTGGAGTTAGGCTCTTGAATGAGGTCAACCCTTTCCTGTGAAATATCAAAGAGATTCCCCCAACCCACACACACAGCCAAAAAGGTCAGTGGTTAGCGAACTCACCTCGTATACTGGAAACCCAAGTTCAAATCCCCACTCTGCCGGATTTGGACCAGGGACTTGAACCCATGTCTGTGACATCCCAGGTGAGTGCCTGAACCACTGGGTATTCTGAATCAGTCAGCCAGCCACAAAAATTCCTGATCTGCTTGCCCCGGCTGCCTTTTGTGTGGACCAGATCAGGCCCTCCAAGTGAGATAGATAGGGGGGGGGGGAAAAAGAGAGACACCTAATGTGAGAATCCCGCTGGGGTTAGGTGTGCAAGAGGGCTCCCAGAAGCTCAGTTGATGCAGGGCAGTGTCAGGGCTTAGGTAGTTTGAGCACACCTACCAACAGAAACTTAGGTCCTTAAGGGATTTAGGTGCATACAGGGTTAGGCAGCAACTGAGCAGTAGTTTTGAGAATGTTAGTGGTGGTGAAATGTTGGGCATAGGCTTCTAACTGCCTCTTTAGGAGCCTAAGCACCTTTGTGAATCTGGCCCCTAGTACTTATGTGGTGAAATCACATACTGAAGGCACGTAAAGCCTTATTAAAATCTGCTATACTAGAAAATCTGCCCACAATTATTTGTGCCAGTTATTTCCAGATATGAATTTTTTTAAAAAGGGCCTTTTAATAAACACTTGGTACAATATGCTCGGTGAAATCCTGGCCCAATTGACAACACTCATTGACTTGGGCCAGGATTTCACCCTCTGTTCTTATATATACTAAATTTTTTTTCCTCAGTAGTGATCTCTAAACAGACATTATCCTACTTCCTTAGAGTATATTTTTATTCTAGTTCAGTAAATGTTTATTTAGTTTCCTGTGTATCGCATCTAAAAGAGCAGTTTGGCTCTGAACACAGGATATCAGTCACACAAATATTTAATAATCATATGTTTTGTAATCACATAAGTTTCGCATTTTGACCAAAACCATGTAAAAATTAACAATTATTTGTACCAAACTAAAGGACTTGGGTCTAGGTTCAGTAAAATCTTCAGTTAAAATAGACACGTGCATTATACATGTTTGAAGACTTCAAAGTTAGAATTAATGTATTTTGGATGTACTGTTAGTTTTCCAATATTTCCCCAAGGAGTTGTCCTTTTACAATGAACTCAAAAGTTTGTTTGTTCAGATCTGTTTTCCTGCACGTTTAGCTGATTTTGTAAGTGAACTCCAAATAGCCCCAATCACAAAAAAACCAAACAGGAGACAAAAGATTGACCAACCTATGCAGGAGACCACAGTTTTAAATTAGACAATGATTTGCTTTTGTATGTAATATATTTTCACTTGATACTCTAGGCAGTGAAGATGCAGCACTCTAAGAGAAAAACTGCCTGCTGAAAATCTCTCAGGGTACATCTACAGGACAAAAAAACCCCAAAACAGTGGCAGTGAGTGTCGGAGCCCAGGTCAAATGGGGCAGGCTCGTGGGGCTTGTGCTACAGAGCTATAAATAGCAGAGTAGACATTCCCACTCAGGCTGGAGCCCAGGCTGAGACACGGCAAGGAAGGAGGGTCTTAGAGCCTGAGCAGGAATATCTATACTGCTATTTTTAGCTCCATAGTGCAAGCCTGAATCAATGGACACTGGGTCTGAGACTCACTGCCCGTGTGTGTGTGGGGGGGGGGTGTTTAGGGGGAGGAGTTTTGCTGTGTAGATGTACCCTTAGGAAAGTGTTAAATGACAAACTACATGCCTAACAAGCCTTGGGAGAAGCAGTAGATGTGGTATACCTTGACTTTAATAAGGCTTTTGATACGGTCTTGCATGACCTTCTCATAAACTAGGGAAATACAACCTAGATGGAGCTACTTCAAGGTGAGTGCATAATTGGTTGGAAAACTGTTCCCAGTGAGTAGTTATCACTGGTTCACAGTCAAGTTGGAAGGGTATATGAAGTGGGGTCCCACAGGGATCAGTTCTGGGTCCGGTTCTGTTCAATATCTTCATCAATGATTTAGATAAAGGCACAGAGAGTACACTTATAAAGTTTGCAGACAATACCAAGCTGGGAGTGGATGCAAGTGCTTTGGAGGATAGGATTAAAATTCAAAATGATCTGGACAAACTAAAGAAATGGTCTGAAGTAAACAGGATGAAATTCAATAAGGACAAATGCAAAGTACTCCACTTAGGAAGGATCAGTCAGTTGCATATATACAAAATGGGAAATGACTGCCTAAGGAGGAGTACTACAGAAAGGGATCTGGGGGTCAGAATGGATCACGAACTAAATATGAGTCAACAATGCAACACTGTTGCAAAAAAAGCAAACATTATTCTGGGATATATTAGCAGGAGTGCTGTAAGCAAGACAAAGTAATTCTTCCGCTCTACTCCGTGCTGATTAGGCCTCCACTGGAATAGTGTGTGCTGTTCTGGGCACCACATTTCAGGAAAGATGTGGACAAATTGGAGAAACCAGAGAAGAGCAACAAAAATGGAAAACATGACTTATGAGGGAAGATTGGAAAAAAAATGGGTTTGGTTAGTCTGGAGAAGAGAAGACAGAAAGGGAACAGGATAACAGTTTTCAAGTACATAAAAGTTGTTAGAAGGAGGAGGGAGAAAAATTGTTCTCCTTAACTTCTGAGGATAGGCTTAGAAGCAATAGGCTTAAATTGCAGCAAGGGCAGGTTATGTTGTACATTAGGAAAAACTTCCTGTCAGGGTAGTTAAGCACTGGAATAAATTGTCTAGGGAGGTTGTGGAATCTCTGTCATTGGAGATTTTTAAGAGTAGGTTAGACAAACACCTGTCAGGGATAGTCAGATAATACTTAGCCCTGCCTTGAGTGCAGGGAACTCAAAGACCTCTCGAGGACCCTTTCAGTCCTATGATTCTATCATCTTAGGCAGTTGTCAGGAGCACCTGTCCATTAAACAGGTTTTCACCCCAGCCTTATCTGCTGCTCCCTAAATACTGTGGTGTTCGCATATTTTTGATTTACATTTAAAATCAACTTACTTCTCAATAGTTCGCAGTCGGATTTTGTTTATATCCTTCAAAACATCCATCATACTAAGAACACCCTCGGTCTTCTGGTGTTCAGTTTTGTCAACAGTTGTTGAGCTGGTCTTACTTGCAGCACGACGTTGTTTAATAAGTTCAATTGCTGAATTACTGGCTTCAAAGCCAGATGGTGCTATGGAGGGAAGTGGGGGAGGTGGAGGAATTACAAAGTGATCTGGTGCGGTGAACAATGGAGTAGAAGTCATTGCTGGCACTGGGAAAGAACCACTTGGAATGCCAAATGAATTCAAGACATCTGAACCTATCAAAGAAAATAAGTATTATTATTTTTTTAATTAAGAGAACGCGTTACTAATATTTGAAAGTTTGAGAAGATCAAGCCAAGTCCAAGGTGTCTGAGCTATATTGCAAGATCCTAATCTGGGAAGGACTATTTTTTCTTAAAACGTCAAACACCTAGCACAACGTGGGCTACCAGAAATAATTACATAAAAAGGAAAGAAAAAAGAAAAAAAAAAAAAACTTAAGCGAAAGTTATTTAGGTTTCAAAAATCAAGCACTCAAAACTTAGGAAATGCCAGATTTAAGATGTCTATGCAACCTTAATTCTGTCCATTTGTACATCCAGCCTGTGCACTGAACGAGGCAGGGGTCCTGTTGGGGAAAAGCCATATGTGGCCATGTAATTAAAAAGAATATCATAATGCATACAAACAAGCCCCAACCGGTCTCTCCTTCCACCTGCACAATTCTCATTGATACAGTAGCTCCCAGGCATACCCAGTACAGAACGTGTTGCTGTTGAGACATGGCTCCAGCTCTTTAGAATGTTTCAGTTATTTTGGCAGCACACCTAAAATTTTACTAAGTACAAGGGAAATGGTAATTAACAGTTTATAACTCAGCTAAACCTATACAGAATTCCACAAGACCAAGAAAAACCCTCTGGCCCAAGGGCCTTTCCCCTGTCACATTATAAAGACTTGCTACAAACAATTTAGAAGTTAGAACAAAAAAGGTCAGAAGAATCTTTTATAATGCAGAGTGCTAGGCAGGCTAAATATAGGGTTGCTCCTTGCTCACCCTTATAATACAAAGGGTGAAGCTATCGAAATGGTGGCCCAGGCACTCTCCCAGGTGACAGTGCAGAATGATACACATACTCTTGTGGGCTTCACCAGAAAAAAAGATGATTTAAATCAACTCCAACTTGAAGGTGATGAACTGTCCACAAAGTGAGGAGAGTGAAAAAAATTAATTTATGAATATAAGAAATAGAGACAGACAAAAACAATCCTGCATTCAAAATACTTTTCACTTAATTCACAGAAATTTAGATAAAAAGTAAATCACAGGATAAGTACTATGGGCATAAAACAAAGGAAAGCTCAAAGTTTAAAGACTGTAGTATAAACAAAAACAAGCGCACCTGATTGATTACTATTTCTTGATCCTTGCACTGCAACAATTGCAGCAATCTGGGCACGAAGAAGGGTTAACTCATTTTCAAGTGCAGAAATTTTTTTAATTGCTTCTTCATTCACAAGATTTTCTTTCTCTGCTCTATTTTTTAGAACAGTTGGCAAGGAAACTATAGCTGGAGATACATCATGGTCAACTGTAATTATTTCCTTTCCCCTTGATTCAGCCCTAAAATATAAAAATATAAACTTTTAAAAGTTTCAACTGAGTAGTAACAATTTCATGCCCCCCACAGGGAAAATAATTAGGGTAGAAATGCATTTTGTAAGTTACTGGCACAAGAAATTGAAGTTATGAAACACCATTGACAATGATATTAGGCTTTAATGTTTCAGTGCTTCATCTCTTTCACAAGCCATTTTGCATTACATTGTTTTATAAGCACTAAATTTTGCATTTTTAAGTATTCAATTTTTTAAAAAAGGTTATCAAGTTTATCACCAATAAGAAGAAAAACCCCTTGAAACTGCACTTTTAGAATACTTGGGCAATTTACTCAGGAGCAGAGATTGACCATTACACAATGGTTATGCTGAATGATTGGGTTGTAAAAAGAGGGAACAAAGAGCACTTTCTGCCTAGATACAATCAGGAAGGGGGCAGCTATAAATTTAGATGCACAAACAAGGAAGTGAAATGGGTGTAGAAGGTGATGAGACACACCCAGCTAGGACTCCCAAGAGTGTTAGTAGCCCCAGAAGCATATGGGTTCAGGGACAAGATAGCTGCACCACAGGGAATTAAAAATTTTATTAAGATGATGTTAAAAATAAATTGTGAACAGAGTTTGAGCATAGAAGTTTCTGGTTATCAGGGAATAACATACAGATTATCGAGGGTGCAAAGTTTGGTTTAAGGTAAGGTGGCATGAAGAATACATAATCCGCAATATCCCCGATTGGGGGTAAAAAGGTTGATGGGTCAAAGTACAGACATTGAGATATGAGGGTATGAAGTTCATAAAGTGGCTATGTTCGGGTGTGGATAATAATGAGTGGATATGATGATGAGGATGGACTGACCCTCATTTGGTGAGATTTAATGTTTAGGGAGTTTATGGTTCCAGTTCATATGATCCAACGGAGAAGGTCACTTGGTCCCTTTCTCGTAGTGGGAGAACGATGTCACTCTGGCTCACGCCTCCTAGTACTGTCGGTGGCCAGTGATGTGCTCGATGTAGATGTCCCTGGACCATCGGATGGCGTCTGAGACCATGAGGCGCCGCATGAGACGTGCGTAGCGTCGACCGATCCCGCAGGTCCGCAGCACAGGCTCGTTGCAGGGGTCCCAGGCGCCCAGGGCTCCGACAATCAGGGCATCCATCTGCACCTCATAGCCCTTCGCTCTCAGGGTGTCAGCCAGGGGGGCGTACTTTTCCAGTTTACGAGCTCGGGCTTCGTGAAATGCCGGAGTCCTGTTCTCAAAGGAGACCGTGACGTCGACGAGGATGATCTTTTTCTGGGCCTCGTCGGTGACGACCACGTCAGGTCGTAGCTGGCTGTCGGTACCGGGGATGGTGCAGTTCACAGCGATCTCCTCCAGGTGTGGCGCGATGGCTTTCACCAGGCGGTTCTGGATGGCGTTGTGGCGCAGCTGCCAGGCTCTGGAGTGGGGTTTGCAGCTGCACAGGACGTGGGGCAGGGTCTCGTTGGAGCACTTCCTGCAACGCTTGTCTCGGTTCCCGTGGCGGATGGCTCCGTTGAGCGGGACGCAGTTGAGCCGGGCACGGTGGATGAACCGCCAGTCGGCGAAACGGGTGAAGCCTCCCCCGGCGAGGAAGTGGTTGCTGGCGTCCCACTTGCTGGTCAACTCAAAGGCTTTACCCTGGTCCGGCTTACGCTTCAGGGTTTCCATGTCTAGCGAGCGGATGGCGGCCTTCAGAGTCCTCTCCAGCAAGCCCCTGGCCGTCGGGGTGACAATGGTGTTGTCGTCAGACCTGATCTGCGGCACCCGGACTCCCAGCTCCTGGCGCTCCTCGCAACACTCCCAGCGGCATCCGATGCGCTTTCCCAGGCGACGCGTGGCATTGCGAGTGCGGGACCACAGTGAAGCGATGTCGCTCCCGTCCGAATTCCCCATCCAGGGAGCCGCTCAGGAAGGTGGCGATGTCTTGGTTGGAGGGGGCTCTGCCGATCCGCTTCTCTGTCGCATCACGCAGGGCGTTCGCCGCAATGTTCCTCACCGTACTAGACACACATAGTAGCCCTTAGGGCAGATAACTACAAAACATTAAGTGTGTATAAACTGATAATCTGTCACCTGCTTGAGTAGATAGCCTGAAATAAAAACCTTAAATGGTGAGACCTGCTTCATTCATTTCAATCAGGGCCCAGTGGGTTTTCCAGCCAAGGAATCTGGCATTTTTCCCAAGATGTCATGGAATTCATCATTTCACTTTAGGCAGGCATGTAACATTTTGCCTTCTGTCTCCCTGCAGTTTTCTCTTGCTCTCCAGATTACCCAACAAGAAGTTAATTTGGATTACAATGCATGCTCCCTTCAAGTATTCCATGGACCTAGAGCAGTTAGAATGGGGAAACTATACGAGTAGGCTGATGAATGAGGCAACCTGGAGAACAACACAGTCAAGAACCAAGAAACTGGGGAGATAAACCACTAAAGCTGGCTACAAGCTCCTCTTTTCTTTGGCAATTAGGTCCCATTTACTGTATAGCATATATAGCTCTGTGTCTAACTGTCCGAGAAAGTCATATGATCACCTACTGAGCCATTTCTAATAACTAAATTGCCAGATCATAAAAAATATTCTCTTTTTCTATGATTTGTGCAATTCTCTCAGTTTTTGTAGTACAGAGGCAACGTGACATCATTAACAGCTTAAGTATTGTGGTAAGAAGAGACATTAGAAACTCCAATATTCCTTCTAACCCCCCAAAAAAGCAAAACATACCAGCCAATTCAGATCTCCCTACTTCTTCTTGTAGTTTCACAACAACCAACAACAAGATCAGAAGAAGACAAACCCATGCAATATAAAAACTAGATTTGCAATATCCAATAAAAATACCAAATGTTAATTGAGCTGTGGGTTAGTCATCTGAGCACACTAAGCAACATAAACAACTAAGTTCTAGCTCTGAAATATCCACTTCCTCTGTGACCTTCGGTAAAAGTCATTTAAAAGGGACACAGTCAATTTTGTGTCTATTAATTATTTTAAAGTTAAACTTCATGTGCTATGCCTGTCCAAGTTTCGCAACAACATTTGTTGTTTTACAAATTACATTTTCCTATTTTAGTAATTATCTTCCTTTTGGACTGCATGAAAGCAGAAAAAATTAAATGAAAGAAGAAATGGTGAAACAGCCTATACACAAGGCAAACAAACTTTTAAAATACTGAAAACTTTTCTTTCAATTATCGTAATCTCAGAGGTTTACTGGTAACAGCAATGGGTAAAAAATTAACAAAATTGATTTTGAGTTAACAGGGACCCTTTAATATTTCTGTCCCAGTGTTCTCATCTGCAAAAAGAGGATAGTGTTCATTACCCAAAAATAAGAGGTTAGAGGTGATAATCTCACGAGTGTTAGGATTAGATTCCATCAATGTTCACCCCACCCCCAAAGGCTGTGAATGAAAGCACAATGTGCAAGTGCCAGCAACATTCCTGGCACTGTATAATAACAGGGAGGAAAGAGCTCAAAGTCTGGGAATCCTCCAATCTATGTGTATGCTATATAATGCTAGCTAAAGGGTAGGCAAGAATTGCTGGGGGGGAAAAAAATCAAGAGAAAGAGCTAACTTCTAAAGTGTCAATTTTGCTAGGGCCCAGAAAGGTTTATACAATTGCCAGTATCACAGGCTACAGGACCTGAGTCATTCCTACCAAAATAAGCACAGAGCATTTACTTGCCTAAATCTAGCAAAAGATTCTCCCTCATCATTTACCACCCTCAGAATATCACCAAGAGATGGAACTACAGGATTTGGTGTTGTACTTCGTTCGTCATAATCCAAAGAATTCAGGCCTTGGACCATCTAAAAAAAAAAAAAGAAAGTCAGGCCTCTGCAAAGTAAAGAATTTGGGTTTAACAATAAAACTTCCTCAAATAAGAGGGACTCAGTATTAGATAAGTGAAAGTCATTGAACAGAAAAGATGTAGTATACCATAGTCATGAAAGATAAAAAGATTAGGAAAGCCATTGTTAAATTTAACGTGAGACTTCTTGCTTAAATAATTAAATGTTAAGAGTAGCAATAACCCACTCACCTGAAAGTGAGGTCTTGGACAAGGTTCTAAAGAAAGAACTGTCCCAAGTCTACGAACAATGCTTCGCGTAGATCCATATTCCTTACTTTGCCAAACTGATATAATCTAAAAGTTAAACAAAAGAAATCTGGGTTTTTAACTCAATGGTACAAACATTTATATTTTTCAAAATCATTAAGAGATCGTACCATACGTGATCTGACCATTACATACTTAGATTGGTCTACAAAAATGTTTGCTATCCTAAGGGAGCAAGGGTTCAGAAATGGCCTCAGGAGGATCTCTCTTCCTGGACCAGTTTTCAAGTTTCTGGGATGTACGTGGTGATGTGCCAGGACATTCTACATGAAAACCAATAGGGGGTGAAACTAACTACACCTCCTAGACAGGAGGGTATCTAGAAGATCTGTTGGAGAACAAAGGACGACCCAGAACGAATGAGTCAATATAGCCTGTATCTGGATACACAAACCACTGCTAGCAAAAATGGGTGGGGAAATCATAAAAAAAATTTTAAGATACTTTCACCTGACATTTCCTTATGATTGCATATACCTGCTGAAAGTGCCTTCTTGAGAAGGGGGTTGAAGGAAGACATGTTTCAATCATACGGACAATGCTGCTATTGTCTATATGAGCTTCCCACCTTGGTATGAACTGCCAAAAGAAAAAGCTACTGTCAAACCAGAGAACTTTAAACAAAAAACAAAACAAAAGTTAGTCAGTGTAACCTTGTCTACACTAGCACTTTTCCTACAGTTGTTCTAGCACTAGTGCAGTTCCACCAGTAGCAATAGTGGTGTAGAACAGGTGGTGGCATTTTTACTACCACATTATTTACGTTTGCACATAGATCTGAGAAATGCTGAGCAAACATAAGTTCTTTGAGGTTAAAACTTGTGGCGCTACAATTAGTGCTAGACATTTTCAGTGTAATACACACCAAAAAGAGTTGCATAACAGTCTGACACATTAGGTTTTCTTAGCATTATGGTCCTGATCCAAAGATGGTGAGCCCCTGTAATTTCTATTGAAATCCATAGGAACTGTATGTGCACAGCACCTCTCGTGATCAGGGTCTATAAAATAGAGAATTAATTGCTATTTGGAAGTCTTTACATGCCAGTTAATATATGAAGGCAAAATGTAACAGACAAGTAAAATCATCAGATGGGCCTTCCTCTACAGAAGGAAGTTTACCAGAATAATTATACCACTATAGTTAAATGTACACGTAGGGTTACTGGTATGTGTATAAATTATGCAATAACCCCAAGAACATATCACCCCTTACTGCAGCACACATCCCTCATTCACCACCGGCACACACCAACAGAAAACTCCTAACACAGCACACGCACTCACCTATCCTCACTCATGCTTACCAGACAACCATGAACTTAAGCAGCAAACCAATGGATCATCACTAGTAATATCAGTTTACCTGATCAGCTGGTACACCAAAGTATTCTAGCAGTTGCCTTATGAGATTCAGCAGTAGAGCCATTTACAGAGCAGTCTGAGAATTCAAAAGTTGGTTATAAACATTAGTTTCATATATATCCCAGAAAAGTTCAGGATACCCTTTATACAGCTGCAAATAGAAGAGAGCATCACTTCAAGACAAACTCCTGCTCAGACTTCTCCACACACTAAGGGTTTACGTCTATCGCCATTGACCACAGTGAGAACAGATTCAAGCCCCAAGGCAGCTGAGAAGCCAGAACATCAAATGCTAGACCCCTAAATATACTGAACTCACTTGAGACCCACTGATCTTAGTCCTGGATCTTGTTTTAAAATCAGCAATATTTGAAAAATAAAGAACAGTCCATTGTTTTAGATGCAATTGGAGGGCCTCTCTCTTCCAATGATTTATCAACGGTTTCCTTTTTAAAGGATTGGGAAATATTGGTAATGGAAAAGCTACTCGGAAGTTCTGTGAAATGTGGTTACTTTTACTGAATTCATAAAAGCCCCCGGTTTGTTTGCTGGCGAAGAACAGGAAGCTCTCCCTGAGCTGCCCGAGGACTAGACTTTATTCTGTACGGAGGCGTTGTGAACGAGGTGCCCCAATAAATCCCCAGCTGGCAACACGGCAGCTCCGCCAGTCGAGGGCCTCCGCCCCTGGGTTTTCAGGGAGCGCTGGGAGCCCCACTGACTCCGACAGGCCGGTCCCCAGGCCAGGCGGAGGGAACGGCCCAGCTCGGGGGATCGCCGGGTCCGCCCAGCCGAGCCCCGAGAGAGGTGCGGGCGGTCACTAGGACGGGGCCGCTGCCCCCTACACGAACGAACCCGGCCCCGCTCCAGAGCGGAAGCAGCGAGACCCCCGGGGCGCCCAAGGCCGACACGTCACGCAGCCCCACCCATCGGCTCTGGCCCAGGGACCCCGCAAAGAGCAGACCCTAAATAACCCCCAACCCAGCGTGACGCGTCCCGCCTTCCCCCAGCGCCGCCGCCGCCGCCACGTCCCCTTCAACGGTTACAGCGCTCGCCCGCGGAGGGGATGGACGCTAGGCGCGTGACGCGACGTGTGCGGCCCCCTCCCCTCTTACTCAGGCTCGCGCTCCTCCAGGCCTCACGAGGTCCTTCCCGGGGCCCCCGCCCCTTCCTCACCCCGGCGCTAGGCCACTGCAAAATCAAATCAAAACTAGCGCCTCGCACGGCCCATTGGGTAAAGCGGATGGGGGCGTGACGCACAAATCGACCCGCCAAGGGCTAGGGGCGTGGCAGAAAGCGAGGATTCGAATGCTGAACCAATAGGAAAGCGCGCGTGGAGGGGGAGCGTTCCGCTCGCAGAGGCTGGGGCGCTCTCCTGCGTCGGCCGAACCCAGTACGTTCTTCCTCTGAGAGGGAAGCGGGTCCCGCTGCCGTTGCCACGTGCCGGCGCGCTCAGCGAGCCTGCCCTGGCAGCCGCTGTTCGCCGCGGGACGGTGTCCGGGAACGCCTGCCCGCTGTGCCGCACTGCTCTCAGTGCGGCGGAGCGGGAACGGCGCGGCTAGGGGAGGGGGAGTTGTCAAGCCCAAAGTCAGGAACCTGGCACGTGCGTGTGTGAGCCACTTTCGGCCCACCTCCCTGTATTAAAAGGGGAGCGGGAACTTAATCCAGTCCCTCTGGAATGTCTTTGCCTGCCAGTTACAAGTCACGTTACTGGAGCTGGCATTTAAATGCATAACTTCTGCAGTTTGCTTTGTGCATTTCCTGGCACTTCGTGTATAGAAAAGTTTCGCGTTTCTTTTGTATAGTCAGATGCCCCGGTTCCTGACATGTCACTTTTTAAAAAAAAAGTCAGCTATTTACCAAAACATATAATCCACAGATAATTAAAACTGGCCTTGGCTGTTACTAGATGTTAGTTTCTGATGAAGACAGTATGCTTTTGCTGGGAAGAATGTTTGAGATTGTGTGCCTCATTGATGGTACTGCTACATGTAACTTGTGTACTACTTTGTGAAAATATTCTTCATTCCTAGTGCAATCCTTTCAATGCTCACTCAGTTCCTTACCGTACTGCCTTTCTGCTTCCAACTATGTGCCCTGATAGGAGCAATGCATAGCAACTGCTGCCATCAATGGCACTTGGAGAGTATAAGCTAGAAACACTTTTCTATTTATGGCTTTGAGAAAATGTGGAAGTTTGTATAGGAAAAATTCCTTGTTTGAGAACATCTCAGCTTTCTTAGTGATTTACAAGGCCATGTAACACTTTGTTTTCTTAGACAGGATTAATCCCCTTTAATTTGTGATGCATAACGAAGATCTTGGATGAGAGAGGAAATATTCTTGTCACTAGCAAATAAATTGCCTTTTTAAAATCTTCTGGTATTTAGCTCAGCAGGGAGGCTTCAATTTTGTAACGTTTGTTTTGATCTGGTGTTCTAACAAGGATGTAATAAGGAACTTATACTTCTGAAAGACAGCAACTGGAGGTAGTTGCACAGTGTGCTTAGATGCTTCATTCTCATCTTTTTTTCCTCATTTTATAATCTTTCACCTCTATTTGTATATGGAAGAAGTTGGGTAGGGGAAGAAATCAACCACTATTTCCTGGAGCTTATTTTGAAGCCATGTTCTCATGCAATACCTATTGCAGTATTTATTAGGTCAATGGTTCTGCCCGCCTGTCATTTAAACTTGGGTCTGGATAAGGCAGGTCTCTTTCTTCTGCACATCATCAGATGCTTACTCGTTATATGCTAGCATGAATGACTGGAGAAAGGCGACACCCATGAGGTCCAGAAATTTCTCTATCAGTGACAGCATGGAACCTTCCCACTCAGTCATTCTTGCATCACTTAACCTCTTGCATGGACCGTTAATTTAGTAAATTACTATTAAACAAATGTCACCCTGCTGCATAAGTGTTATTGGTTAGTTAGTCAAAGCACCAGAACTTTATTTCTCCAATCTGACTCCTGTAACAAGCTGAATTTCAAATTTTACGGTATAAAGAAATTCTACATTGTCCACATTGCCACTCTTAAGTAAAAACCTTTGTTTGCAAACTGTTAGTATTCAAAATATTTTCCATCACTTTTGCAGGCACTTCATTTTCTTTCAGAATGTTCTTCCAATTATGTAATTACATAGTTATGAACATAAGAATTACAACTGACCAGTCAACCACACACCTCGTTGAAATTGGAAGTACACAATCAGGCAACAGCAGAGACCCTCTCCTCCCCCCCCCCCTCCCCCGCAAAAAAAGGCCAGTACAGTACTGTTAAATGTAAACTAGTAAAAAAAAAAAGGAAAGTATAACTTTACTTCTGCATAGTAAAGTTTCAACGCTGTATTAAGTCAATGTTCAATTGTAAACTTTTGAAAGAACCATGTTTTGTTCAGAGTTACGAACATTTCAGTTATGAACAACCTCCATTCCCAAGGTGTTCTTAATACGGGGTTCTACTGTATGACAAACAACTGTGGCATGACTGAAAGGTTGGAGAACTTGAAGAAAAGGTAATAAGTCTGAGTTTGCAACTTCTGAGCTATGACCAGGATTAACACACACACAAAAAATAAAATCCATGGCATTCTTTCAAGTTCTAGCATTTTAAACTCACTCATGTATTTTAAAGAACAAAGCATAAGTTTTAATACTTGAAATACACTAGGCTCCAGTTTCAATTTGTGAATGAAAACTTTAAGACGTTAAAAGGAAACGAACATCAAGGTTCTTATGTCAATTTTAAGGAATAAATTAGAGTTAGGATGGGGAAGGGGTAAAGTTGTATTAGTGAGGATATGGCTAGGAAAAGGGACTGGATGTTAAATGTGGGTGGACTTATCAAGCGTTAGAATTTAGACACTTCTGGAAAGTGGGCAAGGCATCTCAGTATCTTTGTATATAAGATTAGCTATTTCATTATTTTTAATCTTCAAAGTATTGAATTCATGAGCTGAGTCATCTGACCTGTAATAAATGAGGAAGCTGGTGATTATTATTGCAGACTGGTGTTTAGTGGACACCAGCATCATATCATATATTGTCTCTATATGCCTAAAACTGAAAAATGTGCAAGGAAATGATTGGAGGGACAGAAGAAAAGAATTCTTTTAAAGTAAACAAAGTAGCAGCAAGATAATTTACACCGCATAAAAGGGCAGAAAATCAGTTTACTTAGCTTCAAGATCAAAGTGTCTTTGAATGAAATCAAGTGGAAGAGAGCAGAGTATTGAGTGTGATTTCTTCCTGGGTTCAGACAGGAGCGCAGGGCCTTAGAAGCAACCTATGCCCAAAAGCTGTCATCCATTGCTATTCTGGTCAATGGTACAGCCAGGGGAGATTTTCTTCTCTCTTATTCAGTGGGCTAGGGAGATACAATTAAACAGAAAATCCTCCTCCCTTTTATCCAGAAGGATGGGAAGAAGAGCCAGAAAGGGAATTGCAAACTAGCCTCAGATGGAGCATGCAGCTTCCATGCGAGGTGGAAGCAGAGACATTACACCTGAAGCTGAATGTGGCTTCAGCAGTCTCCGTACACTGAAGTAAAGAGTGAGAGAGAGACCACTGCATCTCCTCCCTCTTCTGCTAAAGATGACAAGACATCACTGCTACTAGAAGACAAGACGCAGACCAGAATAAAGAATTCTTATCAAAAACTGTCCTAGCTAAGCCAGGGGTGGGCAAACTATGGCCCAGGGGCCACACCTGGCCCTCCAGACATTTTAATCCGGCCCTCAAGCTCCCTCCGGGGAGCAGGGTTTGGGGCTTGCCTTGCTCTGGTGCTCCAGCCGGGGAGCGGGGTTGGGGGCTTTCCCTGCTCTGCGTGGCTCCTGGAAGCAGCAGTATGTCCCCCCCCCCCCCAGCTCCTACACACAGGGGCAGCCACAGGGCTCCGCACGCTGCCACCGTCCCAAGCGCCACTCCCGCACCTTCTATTGGCTGGGAACTGTGGCCAAAGGGAACTGCAGGGATGATGCCTGCAGACGGGGCAGCGTGCAGAGCTGCCTGGCTGCACCTCCGTGTAGGAGCTGGATGAGGGATATGCCACTGCTTCTGGGAGCTGCTTGAGGTAAGCGCCGCCCAGAGACTGCACCCCGACCCCTTCCCTTGCCCTAAACCCCCTTCCCCAGCCCTGATCCCCCTCTCAAACCCCTCGGTCCCAGCCCAGAGCACCCTCCTGCACCCCCAACCCCTCATCCCCAGCCCCACCACCTGCACCCCCAGCTGGAGTCCTCACCCCCTACTGCACTCCAATCCCCAATACAATTTCCATATCCAGATGTGGCCCTCAGACCAAAAAGTTTGCCCACCCCTGAGCTAAGTTGTGGGCACCATAGTTAAGATGGGAGATGTTTCCAAACATGGCAGTAAGCAAGGGTAGGCTGAAGACTACTGCAGCCTCCAGTTCAACTGTTGACAGCATTTCAAAAGCTGCTTTGGGATATGGCAAATCAAAGCTAGCAAGCCACCAGTAGTGGTTAAAGGGGGTAGTAGCAGCAGAGCAGTTTATGGCTCAGGCCTGCCCAAGCTAGTTGGGGTGGGGTTTGGGGCAGGGGCAACTCCCAAAGCAGCTGGATTCTATAGGGCAGAAAGAATTGAAGAAAGTTTCCAGTAAGCAAAAGAGCTGCATAGTACTGGCCATTTTGCTTTTTCCCCCCAAGAAGATTGGGGAGCTGAATGCAAAATAAACACTGACAGGATCTTTGAGTTGGTGCCTAGAGAGAAAATTTGCAAGATCCTGCCTTTAAGTCTGCAATGGGCAAAATTACCCCAGATGTCTCCTGAATAGAATAGCCTCACTGTGATATTATAGGAGAGGAAGCAAATGTGGCCTTATTAAACTGGTGTGTCAGTGTTGTCCACCACTAACTCACCCAGACTGGTCTACCTTAATTCAA